AAAGAAGACTGTAATCTCGAAAAGTGTGTACCTGTTGACGGGTCTTCAAGACCTTTGATAGCTGTAAATGGATCATTACCAGGACCAAGCATTATGGTAATATTTATATTATAATGATGATGCAAAATCATAATAATGCATCAATATTGATGATTAAGATGTGTGATCTCAATTGTTATCCAAATTGTTAACCATCAGCAAATAAATCAAACTAAACAAAAAAAAAATTAATATAATATTTACGAATTAATTTTTATGGCAATATCAAGAAAAATTGACCAAAATTAAGCAGTTAAGGTTGAATGTAACAAAATGATGGAGGATATCCTGAGGCCATATTGGTTTTCTGATTGATTCCCAAAATCATAATGTTTAATGTTATATTCATAATAGTAGTAATAACAAAATGGATAATAATAAAAGCAATAACACTAATTATAGTAATAACAAGCAGTAACAATTATAAAAAGAAAAATAATATTATAGTTACCGTTGATAACTGCAAGAACACATTGCAGTATTATCATAATTAATATGTAATGATAAGCACATTGATATCAAAACAATAGAATTAACAGTAATAATAATGATAATAATAATAATAGGCCTAGTTGTATGATCAATGAGAATAAAGACAGCAATAACAAAAATAACATCAAATGATAAAAATAACAACAATAAGATTAATAAGACAGTAATAATAGCAAAGAGCCCCTTCCTTCCCCCACCTCCAACCCCCCCCCCCAAAAAAAAGACTATTACAATTTATTGTGAAAGGCATCAAATGTAACACGGAAAGGAACAATATCTATGCTTCGGTTGTGCACACTTTCAACGAGTAGAATTAAGCCCACTATTATGTGATAGTACGTCTAAGTATCTAGCTACAGCAATATCACACTTCTTACTTACTCTTCCACCATTTCCTGCTTCTGTATTATTTTTCTTAGAGAGGTAAACTTTACCTTGTTATATTATTTTCAAAATTTCTATAAGGTTTGCGAAGGTGATACAATACGAGTGAAGGTAACAAACAACTTACAATCCGGTGCTGGAGTAACAATGCATTGGCACGGGATTCATCAGACAAACACGAACTGGATGGACGGCGTCCCGCGCGCGACACAATGCGCAGTAGCACGCGGGTCATCGTTTGTCTACGAGTTTATTGCTGAGCCCGCTGGAACACATTGGTGGCACTCACACGCAGGTTACCAGAGGGCAAATGGCGCTTTTGGTCCTTTGATTGTGAGAAAATCTCAAAAAACAGAGTTTAACAGCAACACATATGATTTCGATCTACCGGAACATACCATGACGCTAACGGATTGGGCTGATATGACATCGTTAGACATTGCACTTAAAGTCAACATTCCCGCTTTAAATCCTAGATCTCAGACAGTTACTATACTAATGAACGGAAAAGGAGAGAGAACTGAATTTTTCGACGAAACTGGTCAGATATTTAAAACACCGAGACAAATGTTTGAAGTTGAAGCAGGGAAGAGGTATAAAATACGATTAATAGGCGCATTTATAGCAACATGCATGACGTCATTTCATATAGAAAAACACAGCATGACGATTATTAGCACAGAAGGCGGAGAAACAATCCCATACGAAACTGATTACTTAACGATAGCTCAAGGAGAAAGGTTAGTTAATCTTCTATTACCACTAACGTTATTAAAGCAGTAACAATACGTAAGAATATGGTAAATATTATTACTATACCTCATAAATATTAATAAGATAATCACAAAATTGCATTGGTCATTCCAAATGGTGAGAGGTGCGGTAGTTTCCACTACAAATTCCCTGCACGTGCCAAATGTAGTTGGTCGACACGTTACAACAGGACCTCTCGTCATCTAATCTCATGCCACATAGCCGTTCATTCTTACTAATACTATAATATAATATATATTACTAATAATAATATTAATAATAATGATGAGGGTGATGGGGACAGTGGTGATGAAAATAATACAATTAACTAGAGGCCAGTCACTTCAAGGGCGTTTACATGCGATTCCATTATTTTGTTAAATTGTCGAGTTGTAGATTTTATATTTTTTCGAATTTATACGACTTTTGTCTTGTCCTTCGACCTTTTAATACGAGAATTTATTGACCTCTCCCATAAATTAAACATTAAATTCTATGATTCATTTATTAGTTTTGCATAATCCAGAACAGACATACAAACAACAATAAATAAATAACCGCCTTGGCGGATTTAATAACAATGCTTACATTGAAATTGACACATAGGTACGACTTCGTTCTACATGCCAACGCAGTGCCATCAGCGTATTGCATATATGCATCTGGTTACGGAAATAGCTCGTGTCCGTCTAATGCAACGTTCATCCTGAAATACAAATCTAGTCCTTTAAATAATCCAACATGCGCATCATATGCTGTAGTTCCTGCATCACAAGATAGGGACCAATATATGGGTAATCGTTCGAAAGGAATGTTCTCTGCAATAGACTTTGTTTCTTCAGGTAAGAGTTTGAATTCTCGCTAAACATCAAACTTTTATATAGTCTTTTATTTTGGCATGTTATCGACATTTTGGTTGAAATGGTCTCCTTTGCAGTGGTGGCGCAAGCTGGGGGAGGGACAGGGGAGGCATTTTCGCATCGGATAGGCCTAGATTCCCCTCCCCCGTCAACCGAGGCTACGACGAGGTGGTCGTCGGACCCAGCATATTAATTTGCCTATCTAAAATGTTATTTTAATTGCCAATCCTAATAAAAACAATATTTTGGGCCATAGTACTTAAGCCTGTCTCTTATACACATCTAGATGTGTATAAGAGACAGGTGGCACTCACACGCAGGTTACCAG